GATGTCAGGAACAAGGAGGCTATAAGATCGGGCCAATCGTGTAACAAAATGCCCTCCACAAATGGGGCTCCCGGGATGAGCACTTGTTGCATAGTCCGCCAAATACCGGGCCATGAAATATGGAATATTGCAGCAAACACCCGGTGTAAGATGCACCATAAAAAGCACAAGTTACTTTTAGTAACTTTATCACCGTGACGTTTGTGATGAATGGAGAAGGTGATTAAACGATGGATGAGATGGTGTATTGTGACATCCCCATTTTCACGGCCAGAAAAGACCGATTTTGTTTATGCTTTATAGAAATCAGAGTTCTTCTTTTAATAAAAATGTTGCGGAATTTGTTCCCAGAAAAACATGATAAATACGTTATTAAAACATTTCCGAAGAAACGTACTTTATTCATTTTAACACGTTTGGGATGTCATCGTCAATACAGGAACATAAGCATAAACAGAACTTACATTTATTTACACTAGTGATCTACATCTCTTTAAATCTCTCAGTGTAAAGTGACTTCGTATCAACACCTGTGATATAAATAAACTGAGTGGGTCAGGTTGGGAAACCTGGTGAGTACATAGGGTTTTCAACCCACAATAATATAATTATTATATTTAAACAATCAAACAATCAACCCAATTACCCATCCCCATTATCTTCTTTAGTCTTAAGAATCTACCCTAAGAGTCAGCTATTCCTCGTTTATTTATTCCTAAGGATCATCCTAAGGAATCGACACGAAGTCCATCATTACCAAGGCTTATAGAATATATCTGGTGAACACGTAGTCCGAAACATCTGGTAAACACTTAGTTCAAAAGTAACTAGTGAACACACTTAGTTCAAAATACCTAGTGAACACACTCAGTTCAAAGATACGTAGTGAACACACTCAGTTCAAAAATACCTAATGAACACCTAGTTCAAAAATACCTACATGTTACAAAAATGCTATCGTTCCACTGGACCTTCTAGTATCGTCCAGAGTCGTCATCTATACTCCACTAGATGACTGGATCACTGACAACACTGATGTCTCCCATCGTGTTATCACAAAACAACTATTTCATCTACCCTTGTTTTTCCCAACACGTTTTGTAGATATAAAACACGTATACAGTTTAAATCATTTAAAACATGTATAAAAATCTTTCACTCAGCATAGACAGCAAGTATTCAGACAATATGTACACATAGCACGTAATTTATATTAAAATACTTCATATCTATGTGTAAGATGAAAGGGACTATACACTCACAACACGTAAATTATATAATAAATACTTCATATCTATGTGTAAGATGAAAGGGACCATGCACTCACAACACGTAACTTATATAATAAATACTTCATATCTATGTGTAAGATGAAAGGGACCATGCACTCACTTGAGAAGGTGGTGACTCGGTACTCGGACAACGCTTCGTTTACTTTAAAATAATTTCTTTCGACGAAACCTAGTATTATCACCAATAGATTTTAGTATATTATTCGCCGAGACTAATTAATAGTCTAGCTATTATTAATATTATATAAGCGTTAAAAAAAATACTTATATAACCCATAAGAATAGCCCAAGTATTTATTATATGTTCTTAATAACGTTAATATAATTAAATAAAAACTATATTAAAAATAGCGTAGGCGTAGCTCACTTACAGTGGGTTTTATAGAAAACCAAGATTTGCTTGGAGCAGCGTTTCCGAGCCGAAAAGCTCTTCTTCTCGGAGCCGTCGAACACTCTGGAGCTTCCGCCTCATGCTAGGGAGGTTCCCTAGGCTTGTCGGGGGATTTCGGGGGCTAGAGAGAGGTTCTAGAGAGAGAGTAAAGAGAAGAAAAAATGGGAAAGGTGTGAAGGAAATGAGGGTGGGAGAGGTGGTATTTATAGGGTGAAAATGGCTGAACTTGGTGCCACATGTCACCATCTAGTGGCAAGACTTGGGGAGAAAGCAATGACCAAGATTGTGCCACATCACCCATTTTCGCACAGCACACTTCCGACTTCTAAAATCCGTAACTTTCACATACGACCTCCGTTTTTGACTTTCTTTATATCCACGCGTAGGTAAAAATAATATATACAGCTTTCATTTTGACTCCATTGGCTAATTCTCAGCCGATCTTAAATTTAACAGTACGAGACGTTTAGACTGTTAAATGATCGCGAAGAATTCGTAACTCCTTCATACGGACTCCGTTTTCGTCTGTCTTTTTACCGTTGAGTTCCTATTAATGAGATCTTCAACTCTCATTTAGGTCGCATAAGCCAAAAACCGCTCAAACTAAAATTTGAGTTTCGGGCTGTACACTACTAAGCTGAATCTTAGAAAAATCATAACTTCTTCATACGAAGTCAGATTTGGGCGTTCTTTTTATGGATTTTCTTGGTTTAACATATTCTATGACTTTCCTTTAGATCACTAAGGCTAAATCTTGCTCTATCGTAAATTCACTTTTTACGCTTCCCGGTGCCGTGCCGGTTCCGTCGCGAAACTTCGACGAGTCATAACTTCTTTGTTATAACTCGGATTTTGGCGTTCTTTATATGTATGGACACCTTGTGACATATCTACAACTTGGTTCAAATTATTTCTTCTAAATAATATTTTGTCGAAAAGTCATTTTCGACCCCTATTATCTCTAAATTCATTAGCCCGGATCTACGGGCGTTACATGTATCGGGCATTTGATGCTACTTTCGGGAGATACACCAGAATTAAACACACCATCAGCAATGTTGCTCCAAAACTCTGGCCTCGAAACCCCATCTGCATACACCCGTGTGGCGTCCCTAAAAAATAAAACAAACTCATGAGTGATGGCCTCATGAGCTTCATACACCCCCATACGTCGAGAAAACTCCACTAAACTGCACTCCCGATACTCCCTTCCTAAACGAAAGACAAAGCTCAGGGAAAAGTGGGATCTCTGACATTGTCATGGAATGTCACCGTGGAAAAAAAAAAACTCTACGCAAAGCTCCTTATAAACACGCTCCTGGATGTTAAACAAGTTGAACCACCCCTTTCATGTAAATTGAAATCTGTCCCCCAAAAAGATTTTTGTTAGGTATTGGGACATCCTATCAACCAAGCCAACCTCCCTCAACCTCGCCCACTGAATAGTGGGAGCAACAGCAAATTCCGGTTGTAAAGCCATCCCAACCGAGTATTCCATCGCGTGTAAACATCCCAGGGTGTATTGGTTGGAAAGTTGTAAAACGGGTGTAAACTCGCAATCCCAAGAGGTATTTCCATTCTAGGTTCCATCTCTGCAAAAACAAGGAACAAATACAGCCAAACAACAATCCAACATTTAGAAATAAAAGGAACAAAGAACTTGCACAGTCCAAAATTCACGTCGTGAATTCCTAAAAATTCACGTCGTGAGTTCGTAGTCAGATTCTATACTTGGTCTTCTTTCTATACAAATCGGCCATGATAGTGTTGGGGGTTTACTCCTATGACATTTTCAACCAATAATCAACTATATTCCAAGGGTAATTCACGAATTTTAGGGCGTATTTTAAATGATTTAACAAATGAACAAACCCTAGCCCTAAATTCAACTATTAGAGCAAAAATTAAACATAAAATAGAAGAATCATTACCTTGTATGGAATTATTACGTAAGCAAGCACAAAAATTGAGTATTTTCGGCCTAAATTGGAGCACGGGGGACCAAATTGTGTGTTCACTTCGTGGGGATTAAAGTAATGGGAGTCAACTGGTTTCTAGGTCTTTATTTTGTGGTCCCGTGCAATTCAAAACTCACGTCGTGAGTTTATTACAATTCACGTCGTGAATTTCGTCAGGGCTTAATATTAGGCCATGCACTCACGGATTGGTCTTGGGCCACTTATAAAATGGGCTAAACTATATTATTGACTTATTATCCGGTTTATTCACGATTCACGTCGTGAATTCTGAAGAAGTCACGTCGTGAATTTTGTCTGGAAGGGACAATTCATACTAAATTAAATGTCATTTAACTAAATTCTCAATTATTACTACTTCCATTTTAGGGCCCCCACATTCAGTGTTTAATTATGTTATAAGAAAATTGGATGATATGATCTATGTTTCTAAAACTAAAATGCAAAAATTAAAAAGAAAAAAAATGCAAACCAAACTCGGGTTGCCTCCAGAGAAGCGCTTCTTTTTCTTGGAGTCTTGAGCTGGACTCCATGCATCCTATGTTGAATCGTCTGAAGAGTCTACCACCAGTTGGACCTTTTGTTCCTTGAAACGCCTCCTGTAAGCTTGAACTCATATTTTGTACGCCTTTTTTGAATTTTCCTTTTTAGCTTTGACCTCATCTTCCTCAAGCTTGCGTTTGATCCCTTTAGTTTCCTCCTTGCACTCCATAGCATCCTTCTCCTCTTTCACTACTGGCTTTGTCACCTTTGAAGTAACATCCTCTTCATCACTTGTCATCTCATCATCTTCCTCGCTCACCCAAGAAGTTGGACTTTGGTATGCAATGACTTCAACTAAATATGTAACACTTGCTCTTGGTTTTGTTCTTTTGACTTGATGAATTATCTTGATCTCTTCTTCCATGAGCTTCTCTAATTCTTCAAGTTCATCTTCATCATCAATGGTGAAAACTTCTTCATGAGCATGATCCTCTGGAAAGCCATCTTCCAATCCAAAAACTTCCTTTTCATCACCACCCCTTAAGGTGAGCTTAGACTCACGAATATCAACAAGAGCTCCAACAGTGTTTAATAACGGGCAACCAAGAATAATTGGTACATCGGGATCTTCTTTCATGTCCAATACCACAAAGTCTATTGGAAAAACGAATTTCCCAATTTTCACTAAAATTTCTTCCACAATACCTCGGGGTTGTGTCAGCGAATGGTTCGCCATGTGAATAGTCATTCTTGTAGCCTTCAACTTCTGAATATCTAACTTCTGATACAATGAATAAGGCATCAAATTAATGCTAGCCCCAGAATCGGCTAAAGTATC